CTTAACCATTAGATCAGTGAACCGGCCGGTGTTAATGACTAACTTCAACTAATCCACGAAATTGAGTGACACACCCATCATTGTCTTCTATGAGTTACTATTATATCATAAAAGATCTGGTTGAAATCCACTGGCCACTGCTTCTCAATAGAACTGTAGGAAATACCTATTGAAGTCAGTCACTATTGAGCATATGTTGATTAATATCAGAACGGCTTGTTTGTGAATATTATCATAATTTCAATAGTTAAGATCATGAATCAAGTGAAGCTAGACCATCATGGAGAACCTGAAAGTAATGGATGATCGTTTCGTTCTATTGAATGTATTACTGTAACTGAATACTGAATTGAATAACAAACAAAAGAACTAAGATACAAGTTAGATCCAATCACTTAAACTTAAATCTGTCATCAATTAGGTCATAATGTTAATTAGTTATTATCATGTGAGATAAAGTAAAATTTGTAACCATATGACATTAGAAAGTTTCTATACCTACCTTTCACATAATGAATAAAAGTTATATATTCGTATAAACCATTGAAATATTATGGTAACAAAGATACATTCCTATGTATCCCTATGTAGCAAAGGCACAGTAAATATATTTCCTTTTTTAGTAAAACTATTCTACATTTGAATAAGTTACTATGGTATATTTGAAGGGTGGTGTAATATTATTATTTTTTTCGATGCCTGTTGACAAGATCTTTTCATTTGTGTAAATTATATTGCATTACTTTTTACATTCATACAAATTGATTATGTAACATTGTAACGGCTAGATTCCTCTATATCTTACTAACTAACTTACGCCTGCTACTCCTCGTGAAGGAGCATAGGCCGCTCACCAGCATTCTCCATCCAACCCTGCCCTGGGCATTCCTATCCAGCTCTTTCCAGTTCTTATTCAACTTTTTCATATCTGATTCTATTTCTCGACCTAATGTGCTCATTGGCCTTCTCCTTTTCCACTTCCCTTCAGGATTTCAAGTTAGGGCTTGCCTCGTCAGGCAGTTTGATGATTTGTGTAATGTATGTCCTATCCGTATCCATCGTCTTTTCCTAAACTCAGCGGGAGTTTCGTTCGTTCTCTCCCACAGAAGGCTGTTGCTGATGGTATTCGGCCAATGGATGTTGAGTATCTTGTGTAGACAGTTATTTATAAATACTTGTACCATCTTGATGATGGTTGTTATAGTTCTCCAAGTTTCAGCTTCATACAGTAGAACTGCCTTGATGTTTGTATTGAAGATTCCTCTATATTGGACTCCAATAAATAGTATCCTGTTAATTGAGTATTTAATGCATGCTAAATCTCCTAGTAGAATTATAGATTTAGTCGAGATTATTCAAAAGCCTGAACATTAGTAATAGGGATAGTTTATTGGCAAAGATTAGTAAAATCAACAAGCGTTCACGAAGTAAACACACAGGGAAACCAAGAGTGTGTGTGTGAGTGTTAAAAATGCATATATATATATTTATGATTGTTAATCGAGTATGGATAAATTATTGATTGTCTGTGCATTACACCCCATGGGAGAATAGATTCAAGATCGGTGTTGCAGAAATGTAGTCAATCAGACTCACATAGAAATTCACATAGTGGATTAACTGTCTAAATTACAGTGAGCAGATAAATAATACAATAGTTGAATGGGCTTACTACAACATGTCTGTTACAATAAAATCAGTTGGCTTGAATTATACCCATATCTTAACTTTAATTACATAGTCGCGTTTCTTGATCAGCAATTCTTTTAACAATAGAAGTTTAAATAACAGAACTATTACTACTACACACATGAATTTGATTCTAATTCAGGTAAAGTGGATCCTAGAACATCCTAAAACATTCGACTCACTTGTAATCGAAGTTCCTATTTAATGTTTGTGTTTAGTTTATCATGAAATACGTTCACCATAGTTGTTTATTGACATCATTATTCTCATCATGATCAGCAATCAGAACCTAATCTATAGTTGTAATTGTTAGAAGTCTGACTACTAAGAGATGTATGATACGGTCATTCGCATCACTACTGATAACTTCATCGTTAACCCCATTGTCCTTAGTAACATCCTTGTTATGCTTACCTTTGTTTGATATCAAAAGAACATTATCCAGTTCAACCTTGAAATTGCGAATAAAATAAGAACTACTTTGGAAGTATATAACTTTTCTATCTAATACACATTGTAATATCTGCAAATGCTTCGTGTACTCTCATCCATTCTCCATTTCCATACTTGGTTACTTCAGTAATAAAATACAAAACCATCATTTTCTAAAACATGATATGTTCCATTGCATGTCGGTCTGGTGACATATGAAGGGTGAGACATGGAATGTTTAGTCACACATTTCTACAGATACCGTCATCATTTCATTGACAACGTTTGTTTTCAGCATAAATTGACATTATTTAATACAATGTTTCCTTTCGGTTAAATTTTAAACTTACGACAATGAGAACATTATCATTTGTACTAGTCACAATACTCATCAGAAAAGAAGAGGTACAGTCCTTAAGGGAACTGATAATTCCTGTAGAATTCATGAATCATTCAGCTTAAGTATCATAGACATGATCACCAAGTTATTCAGGTCACTTGATTTCAAAATTTAGTGCACTTGAGGTCGGATCCTTCAGACAAGTGATCACAATGAAAATTAATTACTAGAATTCGATCATCACTAAAACACTAAACAAATTTTATCAGAAGAGGGGGTTTGTGGAGATTTTAGTAATTTCATAGCTGAATTCATGAGTTAATTGAAGCTAGACAACCATGGGAAAACTGGAAGCATTAGACAGCCGATTCATCCTAGTATAGGACTCCTTAGTAGTGCGCATCCACAATCCCGCCCGCAAGATTCGAACCCAGGACCTGTGAAAACTAAACCTCTAGACCATCAATTCAGTATTCAACGATACTTATATCTAACTTCAACCAATACACGAAATTACGCCACCATCCACCATTGTCTCACAACAGACCTGGTTGAACTCCATTGGTCATGATTTCTCATTAGAAATCTAAGAAATACCTCTTGAAGTTTATCACTAGTGAAGAAATGATAATTATTATCACAAGAGGGTATTCTGGAGATTTTAGAACGAAATAAATATCTATTGCTTCCAGATTTTTTATGGTGGTCTTACTTGAATTGACTGATGAATTCAATTATTAAATAAGATGGGTTTTGTAGATATTATAGTAATTTCAATGGTTAAGATCATCAGTCAATTGAAGCTAGACCACCATGGAAAACCTGGAAGCAATGGACGGCCGTTTCGTCCCATTGCGGCACTCCTCAGCAGTGCGCATCCACAACCTCGCCCCCTGCGAGATTCGAACCATTTATTTATTCATAATTAACCAATGTATTTTATATATTTTCAGTTAACAGCTAATAGGAAACTGTAACAGATTGAATCACCTTATAGTTAACCTACATGATCACCTATACTCAACATTATTCAAGTTTACATTGATGAAACTAATTATAAGACATGATTTTACAAAAGATAAAAACTTATCATGACTTCAATGTCTTATGTGAAACATGACATGTTAATGAATATTGTTACTGTATCTACGTCTGTCATATTCTAGTTCTCGTTTTTCTCACCCCCCACGAAATAAAAAACAAAAAAATTTTTTTTAATACCCGATACACTACATATTTGTTTATGAATTATACTGAATATCCTTACGACAACGATGACACCACCACCACTAACAACAACAACCACAAATAAAGAAAGGTAAATGTCAATGCTTAAAACAGTCTATTTCCCTCCAAATTAAATAAAGATGTGATAGATTAATTTTTTCTTTAAAAAAAGGATTTTTTTTCCGGAAAACTTTAGTTGTCATGGTGACATTCTAAAAATGGTTACGCAATTAATAATGAAGGTATTAGGCTAAGCAACTATTAGTAAGTAAGTAAGTAACTATATAAAAGAAATTTTTGTTTAAGTATTTCAAAGTGATAAGTTAGCAAATCGAATATAAAGACAAATCATAAAAATGTTGAGATTTTCACCGATACATATTCTACTTCTTCTTTCATGTCTCATATCAACTTGGCGCCCTAAATATTATGAAACTATTCGATAAAAATTGAAATGTTTGTTAATTTAGTTAATCTGATTGTGGTTTGTATTCGATGATGTGAATTCATGAGTTAATGAAAGCTAGACCACCATGGAAAACGTGAAAGCACTAGATAGCTATTTCATTTTAATATGAAACTCTTCAGCAGTAAGCAAACACAATCCAGCATTCCAGTGGGATTAGAACGCAGGATCTATCGGTCTTGCGCGAATACTTAACCAATGTTGTTAATGTTTAACTTCAACCTATCCATGATCGTGGATACACACTGCTCAGGAGTCCCATAATAGGATGAAATAGCTGTCAAGTGCTTTTAGGTTTCCCATGGTGTTCTAGCTTTAATTGACTCATGAATTCAACTATTAAATTACTACAATCTCGACAAAACCTTCTTGTGATATTGATTAAGCTAACTGTTTGATACTTTGTCTACTCATTCATAAATAAGGTGAAACTTCAATTTATGGATGAATCAATCATATTTTAGACTCTAGGTCTTGGATTTTAGTGTGAAATTCATTCATTCATTTATTCATTCATATGGTTAACTGACATTTCGACATTATAACTGATGTCGTTTCTTAATGAAAACTCCAACTATGATTCCTAAACCTTAATGTCCAACTGTAAATCCTAACCTCAATAACTGACATCAATTTATAATCCCCATTTAATCCTAGTAAGTAAACGAAAATTCTCAAGGCATTACTTAAACATAGTGTACCGAATCGATTGTACACTTCAAGACGTCCAGCTTGTTTATGGTTAAGTTTGTTTCCAAGCTAATAATCATTGAATGATCTCTCTTGTGAAATAAGTTACCAACTGTTGTTTTATTCAAATTCTTCTCTCTATTGAAAAAAAAATAGCTGTTTGTGCCGGTAATTGTGGTGAACGTGGTGAATGTATCAAACCAAACACTTGTATTTGTTCTGATCGACGTGTTCGTTTCAGTTGTAAAGAAGAGGATATTGATGAAGAATCAGATACAATGCAACTTGATCAAGCTGAAAGTGAGTCTATTTTACATGCTTATACTTATAAATATACTGAATGATAACGTCAATAGTTTGCTTGATAGCTAATATTCTACGGAATTACTTACTTACTTAACCCTGTTACTCCTCGTGAACGAACATAGATTGATCACCAGCATTCTCCATCCAACCTCGTCCTGGGCAATCCTTTCAAGCTCTTTCCACTTCTTATTCATCCTTTTCATATCTGCTTCTACTTCTCGACGTAATATGTTCTTTGGCCTTCCACTTTTACATTTCCCTTCAGGATTACAAGTTAGGGACTGCCTCGTGATGCAGTTTGATGGATCGCGTAATGTATATTTTAACCATTTCCATCGTCTTTTCCTAATTTCCTGTTCAGCTCCAAGTTGGTTTGTTCTCTCCCACAGAACGCTGTTGCTCGTTGTATCCGGCCAATGGATGTTGAGTATCTTGTGTAGACAACTGTTTATAAATACTTGTACCTTCTTGATGATGGTTGTTGTAGTTCTCCAAGTTTCATCTCCTTACAGTAGAACTGTCTTGACGTTCATATTGAATATTGTGACTTGAATATTGGTTGAAAGTAGTTTTGAGTTCCATATGTTCTTCAATTGTAGGAATGCTATCCTTAGTTTGCCAATCCTCGCCTTTACGTCTGTATCTGATTCTGCTTTTTCATACTCTTCACATTACATGTTATATTCATTAGACAGATCTTAACTTAAACAAAGTATAAGCGTAAAGTTTAGTTAGTCTATCAGGCAGTGGGAAGATATTCGTGACCGCTTTCGATTATCAGATATTGGTTTGGATTGTTCTCTTTCATCTAAATAAGAAGTTTGTATTTTTTGGTACCATAAGACAAAATAGTTGATGACTTCATGAATTATGGCTTCCTTGAAACTTCTTATAATTATCCTGTTTAGTCATTCTTGTGATATATGACTGATATTCATGTCTATTTATCTTGACTATTGAAAAGAATTGGATATTGATTTCCTGAATACATTTAGTAAACGATGCATTCCTTAAAGCAATTGAATGGTATGCTAACTACCATTATGAATGCTACTACTACAGTAGTGAATGAGAAAACAAGTGAGGACGACTTAGTTTAGTACATAATTTTAGAATTTCCGGGTAAAATATGAAGACCATACATTGAATAATTCATCTGTGATATTCAATCGTTTGCTTTTTTCCACATTCTTTATGATTCTGCCATGTCATAATTTCTTTCTATTTCCGTTTCTGTTTACTTCAAGTTGACCTTCATAGCATTCTGCTGTCATGAATTCCTTTTCTGACTGGTGTTATATACTACCTATATCGTCTGTAGACATAAGTAGTATACACTACACTAATACTACATCCTTTTATATGACTACTAATACTACAACATCTACTATTACCGTTGTTACTATTCATTGTGATGATTGCTTTCGATACTTCTAATACTTCTATCCTTAATACCATTACTACAATTTCTACTGCTACTACCTCTACAATTAACGTTACCTCAGTTTCTGCTGATTACATCAATACTATTATCATGAATACCATAAAACTGATTTACTTAAACGCATTATTTCTTATGAAAGTAATTTATTCAAGCATTGCTAATAAACATCTGTGTAGTTGACCATATGTTAGTTTTAGAAAGAAAATGTGTTTTGTGTAAGTTATAACCTACTCCAATGATAATTACATCATCAAAACTTGTTATACAGTGTAGAAATGTTCTTGTTGTTTCTATGGAAGATACATGTTATAAAATAGTCACTATTAGAAAAAAATATATATATTCATGAAATTGCCCTGGACAGGGTTGGATGAAGAGTGCTGGTGGGTGGCTGATACTCCTCCATGACGAGTAACAGATGTAAGTAAGTAAGTAAGTATATTCGTAAAAGCTAAAGGATCAGTCTAATTCACAAATGATATTGTAGTGAACGAGAACACAGGCGGGACAATCAAATGTATTCGGAAACAGAAATTACAGAATCTCTTAATAAAATCTAAGAACCATACAATAAATAGTTCATTTGCAAAATGTTAATCAGTTGTCTTGAACTTGACTCTTTCTTTTGCAAACATCAGTCAGTCGTCTCGAACTTCATTGGTCTTGCATTTTCATATCAATTGCTTTGTGTTCCAGTTCTTCCTTCTTGAACTTTTGCAGCCAGACATTCTATTACTGACTATCGTTATATCCTACTCATGTCCATATAAGTAGCATATACCACAATATCACTTAGAAAAAGAGAAAACAACCGACACATAGCCATAAATTTCTGAGAAGATACTTCATTCTAGTTTAAGAGTACTTGATCGGTAGATTTTGATCATCATTATTGACCAGACAAACACGATATTAATCACTACTACTAAACTAGAAGTTTGTTACTAACTGAGTACCTGAGTAGTAACGTTTCAAATCATTAAAATAGATGATGCAGTTCACTCGAGATCCTAGGTAGGCGTTGTTAATGAGTGTAAATAATCATGAAATCAAGATTTATGTTTGGTTGTAAGATCAATTCAAATCATCTTATGTCAAAATCACACAACAGACTGAAACGATAACTTGCTGTTCTATTATCAGCTGTTATTTCATCGAGTCACTGTTTTACAATTCATAAAGGTTAGATTTTTATTATTTGTGTAACGTAATGGCACCGCCGATTAGAGAGTATTGACTTATCGACCGGATCGATGACGTGTAAAACAAGTTCGAGCAGTCTAGAGTCCTTATCGGTCCTCCTTCCTGCCTAGCCCTGCCTAAGAGGTCCAGAACACTAATTTCAGCCTCTGAGATATGAATCCTGTAATTCAAACATATTTGGTTTATATACAAACCAAATAAAATTTATGCAAGTTCTAGCAAATGTAGCTGTGAATATGGGAGACCGTAATTCATAGACTGAGCATAACTTAAGAATGGTAAAGCTAGAACAAACAGTGATGCAGAATAATATGAATTCACTATAGTTCATGGTGTCTGATAAGCTTCTTACAACCAAATTTGTATTAGGATTTTACATTGAGGTAGGAAACAGTATGCAGTAATTGACGTAAGTGGAAAAAACTTGTAGCTTAGATGGATGATTTTGATGGAGTTTTGTTCTCTGAGGTGGATGATTTGGTCGACCATTTAATCGCCTATACTCTAACGGGTAAAGGTTCAGTGATTAGAGGCGCTCTTCATAAGGCTTGAACCTGAGTCCCCGAATTGATTTCGTGGCTAGCCGTTGGATACGTTCCAGAATGTCCTTTTCCTTTTGAAGTGAGGGATGAAGTATTATGTCTCTGTTCTCTAAATGGGTACGCATAAAACTGCTGAAGGCTATATGGAAAGTTGTTTCGTGAAACTGGCCAGAAATGAGCTTCAATATTACCAGTGAATGGTTTGTTCGAAAGACATTTTTGTCAAACTCAACGTAAGACTTCAAATCGTAGGGCACCAGAACTCCTAAATCTTTTTCACCTTGGGATACTTCTAGAAGGGAGTTGTCTAAGTTGTAGCTGTAGTTTACAACATGTCTCAGATGGACTACTTTACACTTTGAAGTGTTAAAGGTAAGTCCGTTATCATCTGCCCAACTTTGAAGTCGAGTCAGATCCTCCTGAAGTGTCAGTATATTCTCTTCGTTGCGTATCTCTCTCAGTGAAATTTCACATCATCAACAAAAATTATCAAGTCGAATGATACCTGTTGTGGCAGATCATTTATATAAATCAAGAAAACAAGAGGTCCTACTACTGAACTTTGAAGGACCCACTAGGTGAACTTGTTCATTTTCATATCTATACTACAAATTAGTTTCTATCCGTCAACAACGAGTTTCAACTACTTAGTTACCATGTGCTTTTGTTATTTCGATTATTAGCAACTATTTTTGACAAAAATTCTACTTACTTTTTTAGTGAATTATCATCAAAAATATCAATTTTTCTTTTTTCTTTTTTGAAAACAAGGTTTTTCTTTTTCAGATTTTTCTCTTTTTTGTTGTTTTGTTTAACCTTTAAATAATTTCACACTAAAAGCTCATCAGCTGACTTTGACAAGAATTTTTGTTGTTGTTGTTCTTTCATTGTAAAATTCATTTGGTTGTAATATTCATTTGGTGTTGTCTTAGATGGTGGTTGGAGGTAGTCGACAGGATACCCTGGACCCAGCTTTCGTGCTACTTGCCACTTGTCAGCAAGGTTTACCTGTAATCTTGAGGGAACTGGTGCTCTCTGACGGATTCCATCCCGTGTCACCCAGCTTCACAGTCAGAGACGTTACCACTGAGCTATCCGGGCCACGACCAACCTTCTGTAGGACTGAGATGTAATCACAATTGATTGACCACTAGGTGGTGACCAATGTCATGTGTGTCAAGTCTTTGCTGACGAGTGCCAAGTAGCACGAAACCCGGGTCCATGGTTTCCTGTCGACTACCTCCAACCACCATCTAATCTCACAATAGTGCACGCAGTATCGAGTCACCTAGACTATTGGCCACATTGCAACTTGGTCGATAGCATTTGATCCGCACTAATAATAAGAACTTGAAACACATGACACTGGTCACCACCCAGTGATCAATCAATTGTGATTTGGTATTGTCTTACTTGTCTCTTCCTTTCATGGATGTTTAGGATTACAATTGAACAGTTTCATATTGGCATATATGCATCTTGTGTGGATTGACTTGTAACAGCCTTAATTTATAAGCTCTTTTTAAATAAAGATGGATAGTGGTTAGAAGTGGAATCTAGTTTGACGCATGTTTTGTCCTATTTAGGACTCATCAGTTGAATATATTTGCATCTTAGAGTTGGTATTCACTTTTGCACTTGAACTCAATACAAATAATTTCCAACACCATCGTATTATCCACTTAACTATTGAATCCTGATAGTCAATTGTTTGTACAATGGGATGAAGTTTTAAATTCACTTGGTATTGTTGACTTGAATCTTCCTATTGATATTTAGAACTTCAATTGATTAGTCTCTTATTAGCATATGTACATCCGGTGTGGATTGACTAGATATTATTTTAAGTAACAATCATCCTAAGCAAAAATAGTTTAGTGGCTAGTAGTGGAATCCAGGACGCGCATTTCGTCCTATTTAAGACTCGTCAGCTGGATGTACCTGCATCTCAGAGCTGATGTTCACTTTGAGGCTCGAAACGAATACCATTCGCTTCAGATGCTAACGCGTTATCACAACTTATAATGCTTGTGAATTAAGGCTATATCGAGGCAATATGCACACAATACACATATGCCAATAAGATACTGATCAAATATAGTCCTAAACAACAATAGTAAGGTTCAAGTAAACAGTATCAAGTGAAATTAAACCTCATCTCATTGTACAAGGAAGTGATTATCACGACTCAGTAACTAATTGAATAACACGATGACTATTGAAGCGAACGGTACTGGGTTCGAGTTCCAGAGTGAACATTAACTCTGAGATGCAGTTGCATCCAACTGACAAGTCCTAAATAGGACGAAACATTTGTATTGGATTCCACTGCCAACCATTATCCATCTTTGCTTATAATCTTTATTATTATAGTTGGTTTATTTTCACTGTAATATATTCCTAAATATTCCTGCTTAGTGTTTTTAGCGAGCTAATTTTCTGCGGGATGGGGTCGCTAACCCCATGCCCAACCTTCCTCCCTTATCCCGGTTCGGGACCGGCAGTAGCTCCAGAGGGGCTCTAGGAGGAGATAAATATTTCTACCTAATTGGAATAAATAAGTACATACATTCACTGATAAACATTTATTTAAAGAATTCAATGTTCATTATGATTAAAGAATCCAATGAAACTAATTTTTGACAATTTTTTAATATTGACGAATATTCATATAGAATATCGACTTATCTCACCGAAAAATGTCTTTTTAGAATCTGGTTTATTCTCTATAAAGAGCTTGAATCTTATCATTTAAACAATATTTTCAATAGTTAAGATCATAAGCCAATTGAAGCTAGACCACCATAGAAAAACAGGAAGAACTGGACGGCCGTTTCGTCCTATCGTAGGACTGCTCATTGGTGCGCATTCACAATCCCGCCTCACGAGATACGGACCCAGGACCTATCGGTCTCTCACGCAAGCGCTTAACCATTAGAACACTGAGCCGGCATCCAACGGTGTTAATGTTTAATTTCAAATAATCCACGGAATTCAGCGACACATTCACTATTTTTTCAGTGAGTTACTACCTCACACCAGACACGGTTCAACTCCACTGGTCACTGGATTTTGTAGAGATTTTTAAGTTTCTCTAGTTTACTGGAGTTCTAATATGATGACACTTCTTGTAGACGTTAGTAATTGTGGATATGGGATAATTACCTACCACAACTGGAATCAGAATATTTCTTAAATTGATTGAAGTTAGACTTTTGGATCTAGGCTCTACAGCTTGAGAAGTTATGAGGTCTCTGAAAGATCCAAAGATTCTGTATTCGATATTGATGAGATAATAAATGCTGACTACAGAGGATTTATAATATAACTCCAGTTGCATAAGTATATTTTCACAACTTTCTATACTTAAAATGAATGTTTGTTTCGATAATTTGGTAGAATTAATTCCAATATCATTTTATCAACAATCTAGCTAAATATAGAAATGGCCGTCCAGTACTCACAGGTTTTCTATAGTGGTCTAGATTCAATTGACTCATGATCTTAACCATTGAAATAATTATTGAATAGTTCAAATGTAGCTAGTAGTGGAAGTCAAAACGGATGGCTTGTCTTATTTAAGTCTCGTTAGTTACTTGCCATATTCGATATATGGAAACAATCAATCCAGAAAAGATATTTACCAACCAAAGATGATCGAATTGCAGATCTTTCACTGGTTGAAATCATGAGCCAATTGAAGCTAGACCACCATGGAAAACCTGGAAGCACTGACTGACTTCAAGACATACTTCTGGAGTTCTAGTGAGAAGCCGTTACCAGTGGAGTTCAACCAGGTCTGTTGTGAGATATCAACTCACTGAAGACAATGTTATACAATGATGCAACTTCGTGGATTGATTGAAGTTAGACATTAATACCGTTGGATGCCAGACGGCTCAGTGGTCTAGTTGGTTAGGCGCCTGGCGTGAGACTGATATGTCCTGGGTTCGAATCCTGCGAGGAGCGGGGTCGTGGATGCGCGCTCCTGAGGAGTCCCACGGTAGGACGAAACGGCCGTCCAGTGCTCCCAGGTTTTCCATGTTGGTCTAGCTTCAATTGACTCATGATTTCAACCAGTGAAATTTCTGAAATCTCCACAAAACCCCTTCTAACAAATTACAGATCATTCAAGTCATTGTAAATTAAATATAACTAATTATGCATCATTATTTTTTTCATTTATCATTGAAAGATCAATGTCCGGATAATTGTAATGAACATGGAACATGTGAAAATGGAGCTTGTATTTGTCGAACAGGATATAGTGGGTTAAAATGTGAAAGTATGTGATCTTTTTCAATGGGCTCTTTATATTCATGAAGATTATTTAACTAATGTTTATCTCCTTTTCAATTATCTTCCATGATGGTGAAATGGATTGTCGGGTTATAATCAACATGACACATGTTGAATAGTATACTCAAACCGTGATTAGTTATTTGTGACGAAATAAAAGACACTCAAAGCGTAAGATTAAACAAATATGTAAAGGGGTTTTATGGATATTATAGTAATTTTAATAGTTGAGATGATGAGTTATTTGAAGCTAGGTTAAGCGCTTGCGTGAACACTGCTGAGGAGTCCCACAGTAGAAAGAAAGGGTCATCTAGTGCTCCCAGGTTTTCCATGGTGGTTTGACTTTGAGGAAATTCACCCAGCTGCTTGGGTCGAAATAAGGAATTATGATAAGGAGTTTCAGTTATAACTTCGGTTTATAAGTTAGAGTTAGGATTTTTAACATAAACTAGTATAAGTTATAATGCCAAAATATTATTAATCCATCCCAGCCAGTCAGCAGCAACCTAGAACTCCGTACGTACATACATCAGTTCGAGTTACCAAACCATATTAACACAGAGATACAATTGTTGATTCAAATCTCTTAGTGGTAGATGTGGTAGAAGTATAAGCAGTAATCGAAAAGGTTAGGGTTTGAAGATGTTATTCAAGGAGTATAATCCAATGAAATAAATTTGGAAAGAGAAAAGAAACGGACATGAAGAATTTAGAAGATTGGAATTTGGGGAAACACAAAGAATGGATTCATTTGCACCATTGCAAACGATTTTGAGCCATCTCACTCAAGGTCTCTAACCATCGGTTGCTATAGTTACACGGATCTCAACCAGGTAGTCTACACCTACCTAACAACATAACTCAGTCCATGTTTCAGTGACTTTATAGATTTGTGCCAGGTTTTGATCTCGTCGCCTCCAGCTCATTTATCCATATGGACGAATAAATTTCACACTAATTCCAGGATTCGTTATTTTAAATTTGATTGGTTCGTACACAAATCATAATCTTTCTAGAAGAAATCTATGTATTTTTCGCATTATTGTCCTTGAGGGGAAGGAATGAACTGATACTTACCATGCAAATAAATACATGACTCGATACTTACTTACTTACTGAGCCTGTTACTCCCAATGGAGTATGGGCTGCCGAACAGCATTCTCAAACCCACTCTGTCCTGGGCCTTCCTTTCTAGTTCTATACAATTCTTATTCATTTTTCTCATATCTCTCTCCATTTCTCGAGGTAATGTGTTCTTTGGTATTCCTCTTTTCCTTTGTCGTTGAGGATTCCAAGTGACGCAGTTGGATGCTTTCCTCAATATGTGTCCTATCCACTTCCAGTAATTCTCTCTCATTTCTTCCTCCACTGAGATCTGGTTTGTTCTCTCTCACAGTAGGTTGTTGCTGATAGTATCTGGCCAACGGATTGGAAGTGTTTTGTGTAGACAATTGTTAATAAACACCTGTATTTTCTGGATGATGGTTTTTGTAGTTCTCAAGGTTTCTGCCCCATATAGTAAAACTGTCTTGACATTTGTATTGAAAATCCTTACCTTGGTGTTGGTTGACAGTTGCTTTGAGTTCCAGATGTTCTTCAGTTGTAAATATACTGCTCTTGCTTTGCCGATCCGTGCCTCCACATCTGCATCTGATCCACCGAGTTCATCAGTGATGATGCCCAAATATGTAAACGTTTTTACATCTTTCAAATCTTCTCCGTCAATTGTGAGTGGATTGGTACGTGCTGTGTTGTATCGGAGAATCTTGCTTTTCCCTTTGTGTATACTGAGACCTACTGCTGTTGAGACTGCTGCTACACTGACAGTCTTCTCCTGCATTTGTCGTTGTGTTTACGATAGGAGGGCCAGATCATCTGCGAAGTCTAGATCATCCAGCTGGATCCTAGCTGTCCACTGTATCCCATGCTTCCCTTCAGGTGTTAACGTCTTCATGATTCAGTCGATAAATCATTGTCAATTAAGTACTATATTGATAATTTAATTAATCAGTTTTTGAGTATATGGAGTAAATATATAAGTGGATACATGTATTAAGTCACACATTCTTAGTTGTAAGCATACATACTCTATAATATAGATGAACTGTTGAGGATCTAAATAATAGTAACACTCTTCAAAAGTATATATAACGTAGTCTAAACATGTACAAGTTTGTGTGTGGTTTACGGTTCCATACGAATCTGTTCTCAAAATTATTGTCTGTGTGTATTGAATACATATAAGCATGAAACCTAGGTTTATAGTGTTCTGTCAGTTGTCTCCATTCATCAAGCGTTTTTGTATAGCGCATGAAAAGTTGAGTTACTTAGATTGGTGGTCAAATTACGTATCGATTGAAAGAATACGGTCATCAATAATTACTTACTTACTTACCTACGACTATTACTCACAGTGGAGCATAGGTCGCCGACCAACATTTTCCAACACACTGTCCTGGGCCTTCCTTTCTAGTTCTATTCAATTGTTGTTCGTTCTTTTCATATCTGTCTCCATTTCTCGACGTAATATGTCCTTTGGTCTTCCTCTTCTCCTTTAGCCTTGAGGATTCCAAGTGAGGACGATAAAAAATAATAGACTATATAAAGTAGATATTAGTTGCCTCTTAGGGATCTATCAAAATAATCTGAATACATATGTGTTATCATATAGTTTCAATAATTAAAGTACTATTGTGGTGCGTGCTACTTATATTGACATAAGTAGTATATAACGCGAGTCAGGAATGTAATGTCTAGCAGCAGAAGATTGGGAAGTTCAAGAAAGGAGGAACGGGAATAGAAAGCAATTAGTATGGAAATGCAAGAACAATGAAGTTCGAGACAATTATTGAACAGTTTACAAATTAGGTATTATAGTATGGTTTTTCTATTTTAACAACTAACTCTGGAGTGTTGTGATAACTATAGTTCGGCTGTCCTCACCTGCGTTCTCCTTTACTACACTATTTCTTATGTCATTTCTGTTAGATAGCTAGAGTTAGTTTCATTAACATTCACCACTAGAACTAAAGTGTAAATCCCGTTATTATATTAATTATAAAAAAGAGCTTGAACTCGTGAATAACTTTGTAAATGAAACGATTCACACTTCAGTAATATGAGAGTTTTAACTGGTTCTTACCAAAGTAGAGGGTTGTTCAGATCCTAAAACGGACAAACTTTCCTGAGGCTTCCAGTACCACATTCATTCTTAAGTATTCAACTGCAATTTTAGCATCAATTCGATTGTATAAATGATTAGTTGACAAAGTGTTATCAGTGTATACCAATGAAAAAAATATAAGATTGAAGGATAAATACCTCTATTTCCTAATTAATATCCTTTGGTGCTTTTTGTGACTTTAAGCCTGACTAACTGTTACGCAATATATTCTCTAATCGAAATGCGACCTATACAATGTTATTACTGTGCAAAACTAATGGCGTTCGACTGCTATAAGCAATCTAGCGTCCTTGTTGGTCTTTTGTCCCCCTAGCACCCTTCCAGTTGAGTCCAAAACACCAATATCAGCTTCCGCTATGCGAATCATTCACTTCATACATACATGGTTTATATACCAAACAAACAGATCAAATCACATTATAAAATAGAAAATAACATTTGTACAAGATCTAGCCCAAAAGTGGCTGTGATTGTGGGAGAATGTAATCAATAAACTGAACATAATTTATGAACAGTAAATTGTATAATAATAATAATAATTTATAGGTCAAATGGAAGCTTACAATATGGGGAATATAGATATGTACAATGTAGCTACTGAATCGTTATACAATAAGAATACACGTGTAATTTTAGTCCATTAATAGTTCTCAGAAGTTACTTGTAATTTAATATTTCACAGCGAACAAAATTCTATTGGAATAGTCAGTTAGGAACTAGTGATCTAAGATTTTATCTTCAGATGATTTGAAATGACATGCAATCGGTTCCCTTAACAGAGATGAATATGTCAATAAGGTAATCTCCATTTTAAATAACCCCACCAGATTTATCATCGACAATACCCAGAAAGACTTAACAGAGGCGACAGAGAAACGTGTTTTAAGAAAGTTGAGAGAACTTTTTAAGAAAAATCTAATAGATAATCATACATATAACGAACTTAAACCAAAAGGGTCGCAATTGCCATACTTATATGGGCTACCCAAAACACATAAACCCGACATCCCAATAAGACCAATATTATCGATGGCCAAATCACCCTTCCATTAACTTGCCCGCTGGCTTACTAGATGCTTGGAACCAATCCGCAAAAAACTAGCAGCCTACAGTTTGAAAGACAGCTTTGAATTTGTACAAAAGCTTGATAACCTTAATGTCTCTGACAAATTCATGGTTTCATTTGATGTCTCTTCGCTTTTCACAAATATCCCCTTGGAAGAAACGTCAGAGATCATATGTGAATATCCAAAACTCCTGCCTTTATCACCCCAGGAATTTAAACAGCTCCTGTTTTTATGTACAAAAGACACAATTTAAATTTAACAATGTTCTGTACCGACAGATTGATGGAATAGCAATGGGCAGCCCTCTAGGCCCAATTCTTGCCGACATATTTATGGGACATTTGGAACAAAAGAAACTGAAGCACGCAATCGACAGTACCACACTCTACTTCAGATATATGGATGACACATTCCTTGTCTGCAAAAATCACCAACACTCCATGTACCTACTTAGTCTGTTCAATAAAGTACACAAAGATATAAAATTTACCATGGAACATGAAGTTGATGATAAATTCCATTTCCTAGATATTGGAATTAGGCGAACATCAGATGGCACACTACAAAGACACATTCACCGCAAAAATACTTGGAGCGGAGTTTATCTAAACTTTAACAGCTTCTGTCCAATGAGTTATAAAAAGAGTATTGTGCGAAACCTTTTTGACCGCGCACGAAAAATCTGCTCAAAAGAATGCCTCGAAGAAGAAATTACTACAATCACCAAATGCCTATGTGAAAATGCATATCCGGATAAATTCACCCACAAATATGCTAATACAAACCCTCCGATTAAGCATGATACAGTTGAAAAGAAAACCTGCTTCCTATCCTTACTCTTCAAAGGAGATGAAGTCGCCGGAATTATCAATCACAGAATTAATTCCGCTTTAAAAGTGACCTACCCGGCAGCCAAACTGACTACGTTATGGAAAACATACTGCTCACTGAAACAAACGAAAATCGACAAGCCCTCTCCCCTCAGTTGCTCCAACTGCATTTACCAATTCACATGTACGTGCCGTAGCACATACATTGGAAGAACTGAGAGAAGAGTACAGGTTCGCATTTCAGAGCATATTCCGAAGAACTTGACGCTGCGCGGGACTAAAGCTTTTAACAGTGCAATAGCTCAGCATCTACTTGACACCGGGCATACCGTCGATATTATGCGCGCGTTTAAAAATATCAATAGACAAAGAACTACTACCACTCTCCGCTTTGCTGAAGCCATTGCAATTAAGGAACTAAAACCGGACTTATGCATCCAAAAAGAGACTTTAATAAACTTATCACTACCCTGGTAAATTTTTTGTAATCTTTTTGTTACTGTCTGTTTGTTTTGTGTTTTGGTTATTTTATTCATTTACTTATTCTAAGATAATTTATACTCCACCCCCTATTACCTAATTCTTAAACAAAATTTTATTCACACATTTCCGTCACCTGATCCTCTTAAATCATCTTAACTTTCCAAACCCTATTTAATTATTATTACGTAATCTACCTTATCATTATTTAATTCCATTAATCTCTACAATTATCACACAATTTATGAACTTCACTAAATTATTACACCACCCACCCAGGATTAACCCCCCTCGTTTGACCTCTGACCTGTTTCTAGCATATATATATATAGTTATTATTGTAATCAAGTTATTTACACTCATTTATGTCAATTGTTTCACACTATCTCCATGTAGAAAATTCTATCACAATTTTGGTTTGTAAGCAGCTGACGAGAAACCTCGAAATAATATGAATTCATACTATTCTGCATCAATGTTTGTTCTTGCTCTATTTAGATTTGAAATGAATTGTGATCTAGACTTGATATTTCATCACTTGTAAGAAAAATAGAGATATACTACTGAAATGTTCAGTTTTTATAGATTAGACTTTATTCTCTACCAACAGTTGAGATCACGAGTCAATTGAGGCTAGACCATCATGGAAAACCTGGAAGCATTGGACGGCTTTTTCGTCTTATTGTTGGACTCCTCAACAGTGCGCATCCACGATCATAATCTCACGAGATCCGAACTCAGGACCTATCAGTCTCGCGTGTGGACGCCTAACCTCTAGACCACTGAGCCGTCTGGTATCCAACGCTGTTAATGTCTAACTTTAACTAATCCACGAAATTGAGCGACACATCCACCATTGTCGTCAATGAGTTACTACCTCCCTATTACTATCTCAACTGCTGGAATTACTACAATCTCCACAAAACCCCTTCTGATATTTATTCTCTACATTTTTGTTTTGTTCATTTTTACAGTTAAACTAACAGGTGCTTGTTACATATCACTGAAACGTGGATTATGTGTTAATCCAATGCAATATAGAATATCTCAATATGATTATGAAGCTATTCCATTAACTCATGAAGTATGTTGTAATGCATTAGGAATTGCATGGGGTGAACCATGTCAAATTTGTCAAAGTACACATTGTGGAAAAGGATATGAACAAATTGATGGAGTATGTAAAGGTGAGAAGTTTGATATTTAATGCTGAATAGGGTAACAGTCTTTTTTTGAATATTCATAGATTACCATCACCGGATTCCTTTTTTTGGTTGGCGTTTTTTTAGTGAGTTATTCTTCTACGGGATGGGGTCGCTAACCCCATGCCTAACTATCCTCCTTTATCCGGGCTTGGGACCGGTAGTAGCCCCTAGAGGGACTTCAGGCGGAGTTATCATCACCGGATTACCAAAGTAAATCTAGTCTGGCTGGTTAACTTATGACATTTTTATCTGGACAGATAGATATCAAGCTTATGAATGGTGTAGTTTTTGATTTAATGAATACTATCAACATAAAAGATTGTTATCAGAAAGGGGACTTTTTGTGGAGATGGTAGTATTTTAATAGGTGAATTCATGAGGCGATCTAAGCTAGATCACCATGGAAAACCTGGAAGAACTGAACAGCCGTTTTGTCCTAGTATGGAACTCCTCAACAGTGCCCATCTACAATCGTGGATTGATTGAAGTTAGACATTTACACCGTCGGATTCCGGCCCAGTCGTCTATAGGTTAGGCATTCACATGCGAGTCCAAAGATACTGGGTTGGAATCCCGCTGGCCTACGGGATCGTGGGTGCTTACTGCTAGGGAGTCCCATACTAGTTTGAAATAACCGTTCAATGCCTTCATGTTTGTACGGCTCAGTAAATCTCTTCAAAAAATCTGGTGAATAAAGTAAAAATATTTTATTGTTATGGTAATATTTTGCTGTCAAGCACTTCTGATCCATTCATAGCACGTTTTATAAAAAGAGAAAAATTGTTTGCCTTAACCAACTCACTGATGAGATCTAAGTAGTGATTATATTGCAGCTGTTATTCATTAATTTTCTTTGTATTATTTACATCGTCAACTGATCTTAGTTTGACGACCATTGAAAACCATGAAACACTTGGGAGAGTATTCGTCCAAGCGTGAGATTTTTCAACAGTGTACATACAAGATCACACCACTACAGATCAAACTCGAAACCTTCAATCTCGTGAAAAGAGGTTAATCTTTAATCTACTCAGCCAACATTCAATAATTTACATATCGAACTTCATCTCATTCATAGTGTAAAACATTCATCTTCCAATCTCATCAGCGGCTAACTGAATCTCATTCCTTTGTCATTTAAGTCTTGATTAGTACACTCAAACAATTTTAGTTACGTATGGAAATTTGGCGACAAATGTAACTGATCATATGCTAGACAAATATAGCATCAATGCAACTTCTTGTGTATGTGGATCATTTTAGATGGTAGTTGGAGGTAGTCAACAGGAAACCCTGGACCCGGGTTTCGTGCTACTCGGCACTCGTCAGCAAGGTGCCTGTAATCTTGAGGGAACTGGTGCTCCCTGGACTAGACAAGCATGACATTGATCACCACCCAGTGATCAATCAATTGTGATGTGGACCATTTTCTTCTTCATGGCCAGAGTATAACAGCAACTCCCCTGAATCTAGTCTTTGTTATCCAACCTGTGTCCATTGTGTTTCACTGATTCCAAGCACCTCCAGGTTTTGTCTTTTCACTTCTGCAGCAATTTGGATGACCCTCCCAGTTTCTCACACTGTATGAACATCCCATGTACCTAAATTAATAGTTGCTCTGGTTGTGACTCGTGACTTCCGAAGGAACTCAGCTTTCAGCATGAGACGTCATAACTCTTCTAATTGAAAACCTTCTAACTCCCAGTGTAGAGTTTAAATGGTTTGAATTATTTTTTCTGATTAGTGCTTTTTAGCGCGTTAGTTCTATACGGGATGGTGTCGCTAACCCGATGCCCAACCCTCATTCTTTATCTGGGCTTGGGATCGGCAGTAGCCCTAGATGGACTCCAGGCGGAGTTACTAGACAAATATACATAGGATGAATTCGACTGGATTCCTGAAATTCAGCATGCATATTGATGTTCTTATTATGCTTAATGATAATTGTTTGATGTTTTCATTTATATTAAGATATTAATGAATGTGAAGTGGATGGAGTTTGTCAACGAGGTCAGTGTATCAATGAAGAAGGATCATACAAGTAAGTATTAGTTCAAAACTGATTCTAAGTTAATTATAATCATGACTTGATTTCAGTTTATAATTAGCTAATAACTAGAAGTCAATACAATTGCTTCGTCCTGTTATTGATACTCAGAGTCATCAAATCTAGATAAATATTGATTGCATAACATAACAAAATGAACTTTTAAATTCCATTCACAAGGTATGGTAAACAATGAGACAACTGGAAGTAAAAGAAAATGAAATACAGAAGGATTGGGAAATGACTGCGTTAAACTGTAGGTTATGACTACAATGAAAAAGTTTCTTCCTAGCCTAACAAAATGCTTCAAGGATACAAAAACACACTATCATACTCAACCTAAGGATCTGAAAGTCATCATATTGATCTTATATGAGTTGATAGTTGATCCATTGTTGCAATGTTCTAAAACAGAATGGAACATACATAATCATTGGTCAGAAGGTTCTCAACTATTCTGTAATTCAATGCTAATTCGATATGTAAATCAATTTGTAGCTGAACACAAACACTGATGAGTTGGAAAAGAAATAAATCAAACCATCAGAATCATAAGATCATAGATCACTTAGCTCGTAGAAAAAACCCCATTGAAATAATTCACCGGAACAATAAATTTGCTATATTAACAGGAAATAGTTAGGTATTTTCAAAGTTGAATTCACGAGTCAATCTATGTTAGACCATCATTAAAAATCTGGAAGCATTGGACGGTCGTTTTGTCCTACCATAGGACTCCTCAGCAGTGCGCATCCACGATCCCGCACGCAGAATTCGAATTCAGAACCTCCAGTCTCTCACGAGAACGCTTAACCTTTAGACCACTGAGCCACCAATTAACGGTAATAATGTCTAACTTCAGTTCATCCATGATTTCGCACAACCCTTCATTCATTGTCTGTGATAGGTAACTGTCTCACACACGACATGGATTGGACCTCACTGGTACTGGCTTTCTTTTTGAATTCGGTTTATGTGTAACTACTTACTTACTTACTTACTTACGCCTGTTACCCTCAATGGAGCATAGGCCGCTGACCAGCATTCTCCAACCCACTCTGTCCTGGGCCTTCTTTTCTAGTTCCATCCAATTCTTGTTCATTCTTCTCATGTCTATCTCCATTTCTCGGCATAATGTGTTCTTTGGTCTTCCTCTTTTCCTTTGACCTTGAGGATTCCATGTGAGGGCTTGTCTTGTGACGCAGTTGGGTGCTTTCCTCAATGTGTGTCCTATCCACTTCCAGCGCTTCTTCCTAATTTCTTCCTCCGCTGGGATCTGGATTGTTCTCTCCCACAGTACGTTGTTGCTAATAGTGTCAGGCCAAGGGATCTGAAGTATTTTGCGTAGACAATTGTTAATAAACACCTGTATTTTCTGGATGATGGCTTTTGTAGTTCTCAAGGTTTCTGCCCCATATAGTAGAACTGTCTTGACATTTGTATTGTAAATCCTTACCTTGGTGTTGGTTGACAGTTGCTTTGAGTTCCAGATGTTCCTCAGTTGTAAATATGCTGCTCATGCTTTGCCGATCCGCGCCTTCACATCTGCATCTGATCCACTGTGTTCATGAATGATGCTGCCCAAATACATAAAGGTTTTTACATCTTTCAAATCTTCTCCGTCAATTGTGAGTGGATTGGTACGTGCTGTGTTGTATCGGAGAATCTTGCTTTTCCCTTTGTGTATATTGAGACCTATTGCTGCTGAGGCTGCTGCCACACTGTTTGTCTTCTCCTGCATCTGTTGTTGCGTTTGGGATAGAAGGGCCAGATCGTCTGCGAAGTCTAGATCATCCAACTGCATCTTAGATGTCCATTGTATCCCGCGCTTTCCTTCACACGTTGACGTCTTCATGATCCAGTCGATCACCAGGAGAAAGAAAAAGGGTGAGAGTAAGCAACCTTGCCTAACACCGGTCTTCACTTCGAACGACTTTGTCAACTGTCCTCCATGCACGATTTCGCAGTGTAATCCACCATATGAGTTCTGTATGATATTGACTATCTTCTGAGGCACGCCGTAGTGTCGAAGAAGTTTCCATAGTGTTGTTCTGTCCACGCTATCAAATGCCTTTTCGTAATCAATGAAGTTGATGTAGAGTGGTGAATTCCATTCAATTGATTGTTCCACAATGATCCGTAGAGTTGCGATTTGGTCTGTATACGATCTATCCTTACGGAATCCTGCCTGTTGGTCACGAAGTTGGGCGTCTACGCAGTCCTTCATCCTGTTTAACAATACCCTGTTGAAGACTCTTCCTGGTATTGAGAGAAGTGTGATGCCCCTGTAGTTATCACACTTGCTGAGGTCGCCTTTCTTCGGTATTTTGATCAGTAGTCCTTCTTTCCAGTCTGTTGGTACTTGTTCCTCATCCCAAATCTTATTGAAGAGAATGTGGAGAATCCTTGCAGTTACCGCTACGTCTGCTTTTAGTGCCTCTGCTGGAATGTTGTCCGGTCCTGCTGCTTTGCCACTCTTGATTCGTCTGATGGTCATGCTGATTTCTTCAATTGTTGGTGGGCCAACATTGATTGGGAGGTCCGTGGGTGCTGCTTTGATGTTGGGTGGGTTCAGTGGAGCTGGTCGATTCAACAGTTCTTTGAATGTTCTACCCACCTGTTTTGTTGCTCTTCAATGTTGGTGATTAACTTGCCTTCCTTGCTTTTCACTGGTCGTTCTGGTTTGCGGCGATTTCCAGAGAGTTTCTTTGTCATGTCATACAATTGTCTCATGTTTCCTTCTCTTGCAGCCTTTTCCGCCGTCGTTGCTAAATCTTACACATATTTACGTTTGTCGGTTCTGATGCTCCTCTTCACTTGTTTGTTTATTTCCGTGTATTCAGCTTGTGCCTTGGCTTTTTCTGCTCTTGTTCGGCTGGTATTGATTGCTGCCTTCTTGTTCCTCCTTTCTAGAATCTTATCCAGTGTATCAGCAGTGATCCATTCCTTGTGATGGTGCTTCTTGTGACCCAGGACCTCATGACATGTTGAAGTGATTGCCTCTTTGATCTCCTTCCAGTTGCTCTCCACAGTAGTTCCTTCTCCATTGAGTAGATCATGAAAGGCCTGGAACTTATTGCTGAGGACTATCTTGAATTTGTTGAATTTGTTAGTATCCTGGAGAAAGGCCGTATTGAACTTTTGTGATACTGTCTGCCCCGTTGTCCAGTGCTTCTTGAGTTTCAATTTCATCTTGGCGACCAGTAAGTGATGATCTGATGCTATATCAGCTCCTCTCTTGGTTCTCACGTCCTCTATAGTCCTCCTGAACGTTTTGTTCATGCAAATATGGTCGATTTGGTTTTGTGTAGAGTGATCCGGTGAAGTCCATGTGGTTTTGTGTATGCGTTTATGTAGGAATATGGTGCCGCCTATGACCAGCTTATTGAAGGCACATAGGTTTGCAAATCTCTCACCATTTTCGTTTCTTTCTCCCAGTCCGTGTCGTCCCATGATGTCTTCATATCCAGTGTTGTCCGTTCCAACCTTGGCATTGAAATCTCCCATCAGAATGGTCAGTTCCTTTGTTGGGCACTTCTCGACTATTGACTGCAGCCTATTGTGGAATTGATCTTTAGCGTTTTCATTGTAGTCGTTGGTAGGCGCATAGCATTGGATGACGTTCATCGAAATACCCACTTTCTTTGTTTTGAAGGAGGCTTTGATGATACTTGGTCCATGAGATTCCCATCCTATAAGTGCATTTTGCGCTTGTTTGGACAGCATCAATGCAACTCCTTGTGTATGTGGTGCATTTTCTTCTTCATGGCCGGAGTATAACAGGAGCTCTCCTGTAGTTAGTCGTTGTTGTCCAACTTGTGTCCAATGTGTTTCACTGATCCCAAGTACCTCTAGGTTGTATCTTCTCATTTCTGCAGCAATCTGGAAGGCTCTTCCAGTGTCCCACATTGTACGAACATTCCATGTACCTAAATAAATGGTCGCTCTGGTTGTCAGAAGGGGCATCGGCCTCGTAACTTCCGAAGGAATTCGGCTTTCATCATGAGGCGTCATAATTTTTCTAAATGAAGACCTTCTGACTCCCAGGGCAGAGTTTAAAAGGTTTGAATAATTTTTTCTGGTTAGCGTTTTTTTAGCGAGTTAGTTTTCTACGGGATGGGGACGCTAACTCCATGCCCAACTCTCCTCCTTTATCCGGGCTTGGGACCGGCAGTAGCCCCAGGAGGGACTCTAGGCGGAGTTTATGTGTAACTACGCCAGGAAATAAATAAAGATGAACTGGAATATGTTATGATTGTGGCATAATAAAATTATTTAACTATTACTTAATATTAATTACGATATTGTTAGAATGGAAAGATTTTATGTGATGAACTCATGGGTGTTAATCAATAACTTTTATGGTATTGTAAATCACTCTTACTTACTTATTTACTCCTGTTACTCCCAATGGAGCATAGGCTGCCGAACAGCATTCTCAAACCCACTCTGTCCTGAGACTTCCTTTACAGTTCTATACAATTCTTGTTCATTCTTCTCATGTTTGTCTCCATTTCTCGAGGTAATGTGTTTTTGGGTCTTCTTATTCTCCTTTGTCATTGAGGATTCTATGTGAGGGATTTCTTTGTGACACATTTCGATGCTTTCCTCAATATGTGTATTATTGACTTCCAGCAATTCTTCCTAATCTCTTCCTCCTCTGGGATCTGGTTTGTTCTTTCCAACAGTTGGTTGTTGCTAATAGTGTCCGGCCAACGGATCCGAAGTATTTTAAATAGATAACTGTTAATAAACACTTGTATCTTCTGTATGATGGTTTTCGTAGTTCTTCAAGTTTCCATCCCATAGAGTAGAACTATCTTGACATTTGTATTGAAAATCCTTACCTTGGTGTTGGTTGACAGTTGCTTTGAGTTCCAGATGTTCCTCAGCTGTAAATATGCTGCTCTTGCTTTGCCGATCTGCGCCTTCACGTCTGCATCAGATCCACTGTCTTTATCAATGATGGTGACCAAATATGTAAACGTTTTTACATCTTTCAAATCTTTTCCGTCAATTGTGATTGGATTAGTGCATGCTGAATTGTATCGGAGAATCTTGGTTTTCTCTTTGTATATGTTGAAACCTACTGCTGCTGAGACTACTGTTACACTGGCAGTCTTCTCCTACATTTGTTGTTGTGTGTACGATAGAAGAACCAGATCATCTACGACGTCTAGACCGTCCAGCTGGTTCCCAGCTGTCCACTGTATCCCATGCTTCCCATCAGATGTTGACGTCTTCATGATTCAGTCGATCACCAGGTTAAAGAGGAGGGGTGAGAGTAGACAACCCTGTCTGACACCGATCTTTGTCTTGAACGAGTTTGTCAATTTTCCTCCATGCACGATTTTGCAGTTTAATACATCATAGGATTTCGTATGATATAAATCTGACTTAAGTCAATTCATGATCTACTAATTTCCATACTTACAAGAAATCGACTAATTTCTAAAGTCCGATCGAAATTTATTATACACTATTGATTTATATGAATAATTCAACCTCCAAATATCTTTGTAGTAGTATCCATCAGTATGGTTTACTGGAAACCTGAAATAATGACTACTCAAAGTAGTTCTATATTATCAAACTCTTGAACAAAATTATGGATGATGACTAGTTAACCTGTTCTTCGTACACCTTTTGCAAGCATTATAGCTGATTCTTACTTACTTATTTCCTTACACCCGTTACCCGTCATGACAGCATAAATTACAGATTGAGATTCTCCAACCTAATCTGTTCTCGGCTCCCCTTTCTTATTATATCCATGTGCCGTCCATTTGCTTATAATTCCCAGTTCAATGATTTCTTTGATCTACCACTTTTTCTCTAACCTTTAAGAATTTAATTTATGACTTATCTAATGATTCAATTTGATGATTTCTTCAATGTATGTTCTAACCACCTTCAGAATGTTCTTCTAGTTCTTTCAACAGTTGAGATCATGAGATCAATTGAAACTAGACCACCATGGAAAACCTGGAAGCACTGAACGGCCGTTTCGTTTTATTGTGGGACTCTTCAGAAGTGCGCATCCACGACTCGACCTCGCGGGATTCGAACCTAGTTCTAGTTCTCTAGTTCTCTATCATAGTAGAATGTGACTGATAGTATTCAACAAACGGATGATTCTAAACAGAATATAAAATCGATTGTATGAGTACTATGTAACTTAAGAGTTAAGAATTTTTGCTATACTAAATAAATAATTAAATATGTTTGTTTTATTCGTTTACATTTCAGATGTAATTGCCCAGAAAATACACATTTTGATAAATCAACATTAGATTGTGTTTACACATTAAGTAAGTTGATCCTATCAGTAATCACTTACTCAAATGATTTTATTTCATTAACCGTCAACTTCCAGTCATAATTTACTTAAATCATCAGAAAGGGTTTTTTGTGGAGGTTTCAGTAGTAGAAGTAGTGAACAGTGGAATTCAACTGAGTCTGTTGTGAGATAATAAGTCACTGAAGACAATACTGGACGGTGGATTAGTTGAAGTTAGACTTTAACACCGTTCGATACCAACTCATTGGTTTAGAGGTTGAACGTTCTCGAGCGAGTTCAGCAGTTCTGAGGTCATGGATATACACAACTGAAGAGTCCCATACTAGGATGAAATGACCTGCCAATGTTTTCAGGTTTTCCATGATGGTCTAACTTTAATTGACTCATGAATTAAATTCAAATCACTAGAACTCAATGATGGTCCTAGACGTTTTTAGTTTCACTCTTGTGCAGATTTATATGTGAAGTGAAATTTTTAAGTTTTTGTGTTTTTTCCCTAAATAAGCTGTTTATAGCATTCAGTTCACTTTCAACCGTATGTATAAAGCATAAAACAAATATTCAATGAATAAAGTGTCTTTACCAACTTATTGACGATCCTGGGACGATGTATTCTCACATTCACTTATGTTTCTAATTCACTTTTCTTATTATCGATCTTTCTATTTCCCTTTCTACTCATATTAGAACTTAATTAACAAAGGCATTTATATGAGTGACAGAATATATGAAATAAAAACTATAGCAGTTCATCTGTCCAAAGGTTGGAATGAACCACATAAGCACATAACAATTACAAATGCTACAATATAGATGACTATGCGGAATATGTAATCATTTCCTCATACATTCAAACAAATGGACACATGTTTTGAACATCAGTAGATCAGAATAGCAAACAATGCAATGTTATTTTGACTTTTAGACTCAATTTAACATTATTGTTCTAACATTCCAACTGGGTAGGATAACTGTCCGTTTATTCGGAGTGCATCTACTTCTCAATGTTCAACTTGTGTGCAATATCTAACATTTTTCTGTTCAGTTAATCACTGAAAACTCTATATATGTACATAACTTTCATCAGGGATTTCATTTCAAGTGGTTGGAATGAAACTTCCAGTAAACATTACTCACTTGTATGTATGACTGATACATGAGTTTGGTTACTGTCATAGCCTCCAGTTGAATTGATTTTCAAAGTTGAGAAGATATGCTAAGACTTATGATTCAATAAAATATTATCTAAATTATCAATCTACCATTTTTATTTCCTCTAACAATAAGGATCTGGGGTAAATAACTGAAATGGTGAAGACTTGTAACTCAGTTGGATGATTTGATGAAGTTTTGTTCTCTGAGCTGGATGGTTTGGTCGTGAAGCTTTCATCGTTTTTCTGAACGACATCCATAGCACAAACGTCTACTTCACGTCTAACTTCAGGTAGACGTTTGTGCTGAGGATGTCGTTCAGAAAAACGATGAAAGCTTCACGACCAAACCATCCAGCTCAGAGAACAAAACTCCACCTAAATAACTGAAAATTTATTCATCTTGAAAGCTACATTTCAAAGATATATGTTTTTCACTGATAGTATATTGTTGAATAGTAGTTCTGCATCAGCTTATATATCCTATTGAATTGTATGTATTCATCTTGTTTTTTTTTTCTAGTTAGCGTTTTTTTAGCGAGTTAGTTTTCTGCGAGATGGAGTCGCTCACCCCACGCCCAACCCTCCTCCTTTATCCGGGCTTGGGACCGGCAGTAGCCCTCGGAGGGGCTGCAGGAGGAGTTATTCATCTTGTTAACATGTATAATACCGTTTCCACAGTATAATAAGTAAATCTTAGTGTTTTAATGATATCTTCCTATTTATTAATAAATTTTATCTTTATAATTCAATAATTAGAAATGCCATGTGAGTTAGATCCTCACAGATGTCATAATGGAGGAAAATGTATAGATCTACCAAGTGGTGATTACAAGTGTATATGTCCGTGGGGAACTAGAACTTCACAAGATAGAAAATCCTGTAAGTTACCCTTTCAAAAAAATGTTATCACATAGTTCTTTAAGAGTATTGCTGAAAATTCTTCAAACAGTAATGCATTTTACTTTTTTTAAAGCCAATTTGTAATGAATTACAGAGAATTTAGCTGGAGAAACTTTCTCAAAGTTACCATTTATTCAAACTATACAATCTTATTCATTCATTTAACAAAAAACTTTCTGAGACTCAAATATAAAAAAAAAGTTTTGTAATGATCGATTTGTTTACAGGATGAGTCTCTAAATGCCCTGGTACGGCTGATTGTGTGGATAGTCAGCTCTCTCGCTCGAAATGCTCTCACATGAACCCATGCATACAACCCCAGTCATGGAAGTCCTACTCACTGCCTTTTAGTGACACTACTGTTGTTTACGACATGTCCGATGCTTTAACCGGACTGGTTGATATGGAGGATCCACCTAGGCGAGTTACATGAAAAACCCTGATTCCAAAATAATGGTATACATGGTCCCCAGTATCATGAAGGAACAAATGGCGTATGAACCTATCGTTGGTAACCGGCTATCATGTAACTGCATCTCCTGATGTTTCTTCACTGCCTTGTGAATCAGACCTTCAGGTCGAAGGTTCCGGCTGTGGCCTCCTAAGAGAACTACATGTTTCTATTGGGGCACCCGGACAGTATCCTAGCCCTCACAGAAATCAAATGGTTTATGTGGCGCATATGCATTTGGTGCCTCCTTGTACGAATATTTATATGTTTAAATAAACAATAAATAAATAAATGCCAAAAATACAAGACGAAGACAATTCCATAAAAGATAACTTTTCATGTAATAAACATGGGGAAGGTAAAGAATTCAATTGATATCTTTAAAACTTTAGGACATTAGATGAAAGCGTTAATTAAATATATTAAGATCATTGTCTAATGGCAGCTTGCACATTTCATTTCTGCACATAACATTTTAATGTAAAATAACGAATCATTAACATCTCTGCAGTGCATACGTTATTGAATTGTGCTCTATTCGAGCCCAGTTATTTGGTCGTGCAAATAGTCAAATATATGTAATCTTGTCAGGATAAAGATTTCCTCACTGAATGGTCTTTCATTCTTCTTTAAACAACCAACGTGTTTCTATCAAAAATTGGAAAATGATATTCACTTGGATTGACCAGACTAAATTATTTGAAGATAGAATTAGAAGACCAATGCTTAAAAGTTGAGTTGTTTAGCGGAAATAACATGGTACTTCAATAACCAGTGAATTCTCAGAAAGGGTTTTGTGGAGATTTCAGAAATTTCACTAGTTTAAATCATGAGTCAGTTGAAGCTAGACCACCGTGGAAAACCTGGAAACACTGGACGGCCGTTTCGTCCCAGTATGGGACCCTTCAGCAGTGTGCATCTACGATCCCGCCCCCCGCGAGATCGGAACCCAGGACCTGTCAGTCTTGCGCGCGAGCGCTTAACCATTGAACCACTGAGCCGGCACCCAATGGTGTTAATGTCTAACTTCAACCAATAAATTAGTCTACAGTCTATGATATACATTCAAGTTATTAATTCAATGAAAGTTTCACTCTTTTTTTATAACTTGTGGTTTTGTACCCCAATCAATGTATAACATAATGATAACGCCAATTAGAGAACAGTGATTCATCGACTGATTCAATGACGCATAAAACTCCCACGAGCAATCTAGAATCCTTATCGGTCCTTCTTCCTGCCGAGCTCCAACTGTTAAATTCAGAACACCAATCTCAGCCTCTGCAATATGAATAATGTATTTCAACCGTACTTAATTTAATTTAATCTCCAATCATCTTGTTTTTTTAGTTTCATGTAAGAAAGTAATTTAAGTTAGACATCTAAAAGATAATGATTAGTTGTTTCGTCTTAGTGCTTATTCACCACGACTCTACCAGGCATCGAACTTAGAACATTCAGACTTTAGGATGAGTACTCAACCTTCAAGATTTTTAACTATTAGCCCATGGTTTAAATATTTAACTTCAGTATATTACTAATACTCCGAAACTATGATTTATCGCTATAGAACATATATGTTTCACTATTAATACAGTTGAATAGCACTATTAAAACATTCTATATCAAAAAGAAGTAGCTATCCAGTTGTGCATGATTTTCATTAGTTGTCTAACTAAAGTCATACAAGGATTCATAATTATGAAATCGAAAATTTCCACAATTGAATTTACTTATCTACTTCCAAGCATCTCCAAGTTGTATCTCCTCGTTTCTGCAGCAATTTAGATGACTCTCATGGTCTCTCACACTGTATGAACATCCCATGTATCTAAATTAATAGTTGCTCTGGTTGTCAGAAGGGGCATTAGACTCGTGACTTCCGAAAGAACTCGGCTTTCACCATGAGACGTCATGACTCTTCAGATTGAAGATATTCTAACTCCCAGTGTAGAGTTTAAGTGGTTTGAATTATTTTTCTGATTAGTGTTTTTTAGTGAGTTAGTTTGGTAAAGATGAATATAACTGAGTGTAATATCTCTCATCATTTTTCGCTCTGTCAGATATATCAAGTAGTTTAGTTATTTATTTGAGCACATAAACATTCATACAAAAGGGCACCAAATACATGTGAACCACACAATAACAATGAAGCCAACAGCAGTTATCATTGGCTTATGCGAGGGTTGTATTACTAACTGGAGCCTAGGTCTAATCCATAAGATAGTTGTGCAACGTAAGGAGATGCAGTCACATGATAGCCTGTGACCAACAATTGGTACACACGACTTTCGTTTCCTGAGGACCCTCGAGCCCATGTATACCACTGATTTTGAATCAAGGATATCAAACTCCCCTATCTGAATCCTATATATCCACCAAAACTTTTAAAGCGCCTGACATTCACTTTTCATCCTCTCAATTTCGTAAAGAATAGTAATGTCACGATAATTCAGTGAGTAGCACTTCTGTGGCAATCGCTGTATACGTATGGTCATGTGAGAGCATTTCGAGTGGGAGATATGACTTTCCCCACCCTCGTCTGTGCCAGGACATTTATTGGCTCTATATCTTTTATTCATAAAGCACAATATTACAAACTTTAGTAGATATAAATGAAATCAAGATCGTATCCTAATGTATTCAGTAGATTAATTTCATTTATCATGATCAACAGATAAATATTATCAGTTGGGTTTTGTGGATATTATATTAATTTCAATGGTTAAGATCATGAGTCAGTTGAAGCCAGACCACCGTGGAAAACCTGGAAACACTGAATGGCCGTTTCGCCCTATTGTGGGACTCCTCAGTGGTACGCATTCACGACCTCGCCCCCTGTGATCTCCGAACCCAGGACCTACTGGTCTCGCGTGCGCGCACTTAGTTACTAGACCACTGAGCCGGCATCCAACGGTGTTAATATCTAACTTCAATTAATCCACGAAATTAAGTGACACATCCACTATTGTCTTCAGTGAGTTAGTATCTCATAACAGACCCGGTTGAACTCCACTGGTCACTACTTCTCACTAGAACTCCTGAAGATACCTCGTGAATTCAGTCAGTAGTGAGCATGAATATTACATAATCTTAAGAAACTCCAAATTGACTGATTGACTGACTGACTGACTGACTGTTTAACTGACTGACTGATTGACTGACTGACTGTTACTGTCCATATATACACTCATTTATTTCATTTGAACATGTTTATAAATATAATGAAATATAGCAAGAAAAGAAAAATATGATCCAGATCAATTTCCGATCAGATTAAAACAAACAATAATCAAGATAAAATTAAAAGGAATGACAGAAAAATGAAAAAAAGGGAAGGTAACAATAACAAATGGAGAAAAATAAAATTAAAAATTTTTTTTGGTGTGATTGAAAATTTCTTATGGGTAAAAAAAACAGACTTTGTTATATAGAATAGATGGAATGAGATTAGTAATGAAATCTAGGACAGATATTTGATTCTATTTGGTATTTATGAATTAGATGTACTTGAATCTCAGATTTAAAGTGTACTGAAGGACTCGAACCTTGTACTATTGGGTTAAAAAGTTTAACATGTTATATACTTAGATACTGAGTCCAGATAGCTATTTTCTTGGGTAATAGGTATGACCTAGTTACTTACGCCTATTACTCCTCGTGAAGGAATATAGGCCGATCACTACCACTCTCTATTCAATCCTGTCCTGGGCAATCATTTCCAGCTCTTTCCACTTGTTATTCATCCTTTTCATATCTGATTTTATTTCTCGACGTAATGTACTCATCGGCCTTCCACTTTTCCACTTCCATTCAGGATTCCAAGTTAGGGTTTGCCTCGTGATGCAGTTTGATGATTTGTGTAATGTATGTCCTATCCGTATCCATCGTCTTTTCCTAAACTCAGGAGGAGTTTCGTTCGTCCTCTCCCACAGAAGACTGTTGCTGATGGTATTCGGACAATGGATGTTGAGTATCTTGTGTAGACAACTATTTATAAATACTTATACCTTCTTGATGATGGTTGTAGTAATTCTTCAAGTTTCATCTCCTTACAGTAGAACTATTTCGACGTTCATATTGAAGATTGTGACTTTGATATTAGTTAAGAGTTGCATCTGATCCTGCTTGCTGATCGATGATGCTTCTCGAGTACGTGCAGGATTCCACATCTTCCAGAGTTTCGCCATCAAGTGTGATTGTGTTGGTGTTCTTTGTGTTGTATTTGAGGATCTTGCTTTTTCTTTTGTGTATGTTGAGGCCTACTGATGTATAGGCTGCTGCTACACTAATTGTTTTCATCTGCATTTGTTCGTGTGTATGCGATTGGAGGGCTCAGTCATCTGCGAAGTCCAAATCGTGTTAGTGGTTCCGAGCTATCCATTGTATTCCATATTTTCCCCCAGAGGTCAATAACACCTATGAATTTTAGTTTAATTTAATTTCATGCAAAGTTATGTTGTGATGACTATATCGAATTAACCTACGCAACCGAAACTGAACAATTTTCAGTTATAGTGTCAACAAC